AAACATTCTTGGTCAAATCGGAAAATGGTGTTTGAAACAAACTTGCATACACAACGTCTTGTTGAACTTGAAACTCCGGAAAAAGACAAACGCCTTCCTGAAGCAACTCTGTTCCATCCCGAGACCATCCCTGAAATTCGTCCAACATGACCTGTATATACTTATCTTGGTCCAAGTAAAGTACCCCACTTTTTAGCATGTTCAAAAACGGGCCCGTGATAATGTAATGAATGATGCCAAGAGCTCTTATGACAGAATGAGTATGTGGGCATTAGCAATCTAATAGGACACTTTCTAACTTCATGTTAAGCGAGCCTTTATACGCCTGTAAAAATGTAGCGATGTGGTCGTGATGAAAATATAAGTCACCAGCAACTTGGAAGAATTTGTTGTATCTGTTCATTCTGAAGCTAGTTATGTAGAATTCCTCGTTCAGCGTTTCTGAGCAGAAGGCATCCCACTGGGTTTTGCAACCATTTTTCTGGTCCCCTTGTGGGCCTAATACATCACATCCTGTTCTGATGGAGCCCCAGCCAACTCTCTTGAAGAGTTAAATCTACTAAACTTAGCACTAACATCCCTGTCAAGCCCCTGGCCCATCTCCTGAACAAAATCTTTCTCATGCTTTTTCAAAACACTTTCACATGTGTTTAAAATCCCAAGCAGAAAGTGGGCATTACAAAACAAAAGATGCAACTCAACTGAGTCTTCACCCAGAAGACTGTCCTGGTATGACTGTAACTGGGTATTAACTACTTCCTGCCAGGGATTCCAGATCCGGACACATATGCTTTATATGCGTGGCCGGGGAGGAGGGTCTCTGAACTCGGACAAAGGGAACAGGGCCTTGTAACAAAGAATGTACTTGGAACAAAAGACCAGGCTGCTGGGCATTACCAGCATTTTTCACTCTGAAAAGTGGAGATAGTCCTCCCTTGTTTTGAAACAGTTTACCATGGTTTGGGGCATTTAGAGCGAGTGGATTTACCACTGGGACAAAAGCATTCCACCACCACAGGGACGAGCCACACAGCACCGCTGCATGCTAATCTGGCCCCTATTAAAAAGAGGTCAGCAGCTCACTGAGCCAAGTTTGTGAACAAAAGAATATTATGTAACACCACAAAATCTGGGCTCTCTTTTTACAAGGCTGCAGGCCTGGCTGAAATACTCAGGCGTCAATAGATTTTGTCGTTCAGGTTAGAGCAGACACCAGACATGCTTTCACGTGTTTGTAAGGGTCCAGTAAATGAAGATAGGAATTTTTAAAGAATTTTGAAAACAGAAAAAAAATGATAAATATCCCGCCCCAGCATCATCAACATTGATAAATGCCCCTAAAGTGGTTAAATGTCTTGTTTAAGCTGGATCTGTCTGAAATTACAGCAAACATATTTTTCATCATGCATTTTTAACACCTCTTCCTCGTCATCATCAGTGACCACTAGGTCACTTAGTTCCTCTATCATAGCAATGACATTGTCAAGAAGTGTAGACGCATCCTCTACAGCAACCGATGAAAACCCCCCTGATATTGTCTGCCCCGTGTTCAAGTTTACCTGTTGTCCTTTTTTTTTTTTTGCCATCTCATGAAGTCCCATCCCCATGAAGATCCCACTCGTCAGAATTAACCATACCTTTGGCAACTTGCAGCTTACCTGTACTTAATACATGGGCTCTGTCAACCATATCATTTACAGTTGAAGCAGATGGCACGTTGTCGATGTTGACTTTGTTGAAGAGCCACTTACATGCTTTTTACAAAACACCCCCACACTTTTGTCGTTAGGATATCATACTCACAACAAAGTTCCATGACACATTTCTCTACATTGTCTTTAAATGGTCATCCCATCCCCTCCCCCTCAGTTTTATTTGATTAGACACCAACATTGCATGTTCCAAGTCTAGCCTTGCACATTCCTCCTTAAGATCCTTCAAGTCTTTTAGCAGTTTATTCATTCCTCTTCTGAGTGACACAATCAGTTTTGTCTGACTGTTCATCTTCCTTTGCAAGCCTTTGATTTTATTTGTCAACCTTTGGACATCCTTTGATTTTGTTTCCATTTCTTTATTTTTGATTTTTTTCTATGTTTGTTTTAAGGTACATCTTTTAGCTGCAGAGGCTCTGATAAACAGCACTTGATCAGTTGATCTTGCATTCGTCAGCATGTCTGTTTTTTCCTTCAACTTTTTTTTTCAATCTTTGTACTTCTGCTTCAGCAGTTTTGATCTTAACGGTTTTGGTGCGCAGATTTTTCTCAAGGTTTTCCAAAAGTTTTTCAGTCAGGTTAATTGTTTCTGATTTTTCTTTGCAGAGATCTTTGAGAATCTTTACTTCCTCTTGAAGGTTGTTGTTTTCTTTTGTTTTAGATTTTAGTGCTGCCTCTTTCTTTTTTTCTTCTTTGACTTTCTTTTTTTTCTTCTGCTTTCTGTGTGCTTTCCACTCTACTTGTCGTGCTGCTTGAGGCACTGGTATTGCATACTCTACTTTTATATGTACTATCATTTATGCTACCATTACATGTACTAGCCTCCACGATAGGCACTTCATTTACTTCTAATACCTCGTTAAGAAATTCACTGACTGTGTTACTTCTTCCTTTGGATTTGTTGAGTTTTGTATACAGGCAGGTCAACTTAGTTTTCTTAAGTTCACTTCTTATTGTCCATTCCTGATACCTATTGGAATACAAATTGTTCACGGCAAAAAATACTTTACTGCCAAAAGTACTCGATAGCTCCAGACAGATTCCTCGAGACAGATACTCCTCACGTTGTACTGGAGGATTGTCGAAGGACAGGCGGGACATGCCAACTGCTTCACACCTTTGACCCGAAAAAACATTCAAGGAAGGGGAAAACTAAATTAAATGCACCCCATAAAAAACCAATATCAAAGTACAATTGATGTACACTGAAGAGAACAATGAAAAACAATTTTAAAGGAAAAAAAATGCACTGACGCATCTATGAAATTGAGATTGACTGCTTGGCTGTAGAAGTTGTGACGGTCAGATGCTTGGAGTTCAAGAACAGAATGGTACAGTTGATTCAAGAAGATGATTACATTTCGCTGAGGGGTAGTTTGGAAAAAGTTTTCCCATCCAAATGACTACATCTTTCCATGATTTCTGATAGCTGATCTTCATGGAATACATCTGAAGAAGTAGCTGATGTATCAATTCTAACTTTGCAAAGTTTGGACGCCACCCATGACCCACTTCTAGAAAAACTGTCTTGAGCACAGCACTAGTTTCATCATCTGTTCAAAACAAGAGTGAAGTTTGATTTAATATAATGACTAAGGTTATGGTAAATCCTCTCTTGATTTTGCTATATTTATAAGTGAAGACAATAAGAAAAACTTACGTGGGAAATAGGAATGAGTGACATTCTGATTTGGGCACAATTTTCTATACTTGATAACAAATATAGCAGAATTGTTCACATGGTATGTAAAAAGTTATTTTATCACAAAACTAGTTAAACATGATGGGTGAGTTCGTCACGGTGCCGCTTTCATGAAAATAACGAGGGAAAATTAGCTTAATGAAATCAAATGTAAGCTTGAGAGGCAATGTAGGAAAATGCGGACATAAGGACGCATCTTTGTTCCGTACAGAGATTTACAGAAGTTCTTCGCAGTCATAGCTCAAGTACATGTATGTACAGTGTACATGTAAACTGCCACAGGTTTAGCCAACTTTACACTGAATTAACTTAAATGCATTTACTCAAGTTTATGTTTATACAATTATTTATTTATTTACATGTAATTTGGATTTGTCCCATTTTTTTAATATGTAAGTCAGTTATGTTATTAGTTGTTTTTTTGTTTTGCTTTCCATGATACCTGTAAGTGGAGGATCTCCGCTCAGGCCTCGAAATAGTACTAGCCCAGTGTACAAATTCCAGCTTAAAATACTCTGGGCTACCTAAACTTTGTTCCCTGGTTGCCTGGTGGGCTAGTGAAAAATTTAGAATAAGCCTACCTGTTAAAACTTAGATCAAAATAAATACATGTATTCAATATAAATCTATATATAAATATCAGAAAGTAAGCAAAAAGTGGCAGTTTTTGCCTAACGTAAGCAACCCAAATGAGGGGAAAGATGGAGCAAAGAGGTGATTTTGTTCCCGACTCCATTACCAGTGAATCAAGCAATAATTAACTAACATGCATGCCTCTTTATTTATACCATCAGCCTTTTATTTTCTGAAATGTCAAATTCTTTATTAGTGAGCTGATAACAAATTTTGGGTTTTAAAAATTTTTTATATATTGGCTAGTAAATCTCTAAACGGGCTAAAATATCCAGTTAACTACATGTACATGTAGCCTAGTGGGCTAGCCAGGAAAAAAAAGTTAGCGCAAGGCCTGCTGCTGTTGTATATCAGAATAAATAAATAAAAAACTTGGATAAATTTATAACCTGCAATATTCCAGTACATGTACTGTGTGTCAGGAGGTACTGGTACATGTAGTTTCTACTGCTACTGGCTTTCATGTAGGCTTACATGTATTTCTAATTGACTGTGTACTAATTAAAAAGTTGCAGTGTTTATAATGCATGTAACATGCACATGTTTGGAGTGTCATCTGTCTTATCTTCTTTTAGAAAAATTGTACTTTCTTTTCTGTGCCATTTTTCACATGCCTGGCTTTTCGGTGTAAACAAGAAGCATAGGGGATGGGTCTATAAGCAGACATGTGATAGTGTTGATCCAGCCCTTGACCTTCAGTTGACCTGCTTGTGCTATACACACCCTTGTATAATGAACCTTTTGCGAGTTAAATTTGAATAAAATCTGGTACACTGAGTACTTTAAATTCATGTGAACATAACAATTGGAATTCTCCATTCTAAAGCCTCCGTTGCTATGACTCGTGGCAAGCTTTTTCTTAGTTACATAAGAGACGCCTTGCAACAATAGACTGTTCTCAATGGATAAGAACGGCACAAAGGAACCAGTCCATTCCAGAGATGGTGGTCGCTCAGCAAAAGCTTGCCCCGAATCACGAGGTATAGCAACAGTGTCTTTGGGAAATTCATATTATGTTTATGTGTAATCAGATAACTCAGTGTACCAGATTTTTTTCAAATTTAACTCACAAATGGCTTATTGCTGGCTGTCCAACTCAAAGGCTCCCTCATTCTGAAATTAACTTTAAAAAATAGGGGGTTGGCCTGTGTTTACAATAACCCTGCTACATGTACAGTGTACATGTACATGGAAAACTAATTGTGTGGACGGAATGGACTGTCTGAAGACATCTGCTCACTTCATGTTCAAAGTGTTAAAGTGTTTTGTACCTTTACTTTGTTGAAACACAAAAGCCAGACACGTCATACAAGCCATATACATGCACATGTACATTGTATACCAGCAATACTCTGTACATGTACATGGCTTTACTACATGTACATAATTGTACATGTACCGGTACGTAATTGAACATATACATATATGTACTGATACATTTACCTGATATATTTTTATATCCATGATTGGCATAAATGGCTGATTGCCAGTAAAAAAGGATATGACTAAAGATACTGTGTGTACAGGTACAGGTACATGTACATACACGTACAGTGCAGACATGTTCATGCGGTTGATGTGTGCACATGTCAGTACATGTACGTACCGGTCCATGTACATGTACATACATGTAATGTACACTAGCACCTCCCATACATGTATAATGCTTTGCCTGTGGCATGTTCTTCATAAAATGAACCAAAGTGCAACTCCACAAGTCATTTGTCAAAACTTCTACAAGAGTGACTTTGATCATGTACATGTACGGTAAATTACAAATTAGCACCTTCTAATTACATGTACGAGTACATGTACATACATGTACATGTAATTAGGCATAAAGTGTACATTTGGTGGACATCTGGTTGGTTACTAGTGCAAATCAAATGGAGTTGAATTTATTTAAATTTTTACGTCAAAGTGTTTGCACCAGAGGACTTGACTTTAAAACTTCTCTCAACACGGAAAATTCAGTACATGTATATTGTTAAACTGATGTATTTTAAAGCACCTAAGAAATAGCTGTAAAATATAACCCATGGGAAAAAAGAGCACAAAATTGACGGAAAATGCTGAGAAAGGATTGGCTCTCTTTACATGCATTCTTTTTCCATTTATAATCACTCTACGTATACCAGCAAATCTGCCAGGTCTTATACCTTTCAACCACCGAAAATAATCTTTATGTTTGGCTGCATCAAAGATGTACAATGAATACAATGTGTTCCTACCAAACGTCATCTTTGATGGAATTTTGATGACATTCGAGAATTTTGATGGAAAGTGCATGATGTTTGGCAATGGCAAAAAAGCTGTCAGATGTTGTGTTTAAAAATTCCATACATGATGCTCATTTTAGAAATATCCCAGCGGAAAATTAAATCAAAATTAACAACTCTGAGCATTAGATTTTCATCATGAATCGTATTTTATGTTTCGGACATCATTTTTTATGAACATCATTCAGTTTGAGGGATTTTCTTTTGAGAAACCCTGGTATAAAGAGAAAAACCCTGGAGTGTTGCCATTCCATGGAGGGGCTCATGAATATCAAATGAAAAAGAGGGTGCACTGTCAGGGTTGATGTCAAAGGCCAAACAGCCCATGATGCGGCAAAATGTGTCCTAACGTCACCGTGAGATATTGACGGAAGCCGCAAACTCACCATGATCTGTATTTTGGACTGCAGTTTTTGGAAACTTTAAGAAAATGTGATTGGTCCAGTCATAAAAGGATGATAGTTTGGGGTGCTTTTTTGCACCTTTTTTAAAGCTTGTGTTGTTCATATACATCGATTTGGATTTTACTCGCTGTTTTTTGCAGTCAATTTTTTGGACAGAATTGAATGATGTTTATGACTGTCGACTGTGGGACCCGATTATTTGTGTGAGATATTTTTTAATTTTGTGATTATGGCTTGAATATGTGTAAATATACATGTAATCGCCTTTCACCACATACTAATCTGTGCAAAATAACTGCGGGGATTACTACATGTACTTCTGATATTTTTTTGAGTTTGAGATTAATTTTGACATTTGAGATTAATCAACTCCGATTAAAGTTGAAAGATGGGCATGCATGGTCATCAGTGTTCCAAATATCAGCCATGACTTTCTTCATTTCATCAGACATTGGAAAATTGGTGAACTGCTGTTCACTTCTTGAAAAATGAACGCCCAAAGTTGAACATTATCTAATGGTCCATTTTTTGAGGAACCTGCCCCAAACGTACATGTACGTACTAGTACTGTACGTTCACGTTCCGTACATGTACCTGTACATGTACATGTGCTACTCACAGTTTCTACTGTGCATGTGGTGCGTGTGGTATTTTCATTTTGTACACAATATATATGCACATGCACACGTACATGTACACACATGTATGTACCAGTACCCGCATGTACATGTGTCGTAAGTGTGGAAGCTTATTACAGGTACATAATAATATGAATTGTCGTACATGTACCTCTATCTTGGATACTGTCCATTTATTGGCCCAGAAGGATCACATGACAGGGCGACATTTCAGCATATCACACTCACGGTACCCATGATATGTTTTGTGCATAGGCTACCAGGGAATTTGATCGATGATTGCCCTCATATGACAGACTCGTTCCTGTCCCCGCTGCGTATAAGGTAATGCAGAGACCACTAACCAGACTATATAAATGTACTCACTTGTATCCGCATGAGTTTCACGTTAGAGTTTACACAATTAATGAAAGTGAATGGACAGTGCAATTTGCATAATTTATGTCTGTTATGTTAATTGTACAGTTTTAGTAGTAGGTCCATCGTCTTCTGAAATACAGAGCTTGTTTCTTTTAATAAATTCCTGAAGACAGAAGTATGACAAAACAATTGTTGACCGCTGTGGTGTAGAATATGACGTCGTGAACACCCAAGGGCATGCATAGCCCCCTCAGCTTTGCCTCAGGACGCTACATGTACCGGAGGTACATGTACACGTCAATGTATGTGTGTTCAAGACATCGTCAGGTGTTCAAGACATCACATCCCACACCACAGTGGTCAACAACTGTTAAATGATGGGTCACATGCACAGTGGATGAGAACACCAGTTTAACCCAAAGAGAATAGAGACTACTGGTCAGAGAATATACAGGTAGTATTGTACCTCCAACTTTAACCATCCTCCTTCCACAGAAAGGAAAAGGAGTTACTGTTAACCCCTTGACGGCAGGATATTTTTACCGTGTTCTGCCTGGCTGCTTTTTTTTTTCCAATTTTGCTATTGGCAACCACAGACATGGAGCAACGTCACCAGGCTAAGCCCGGCTCTGTGTAGCTGAGATTCATGCTGGGGTATTTGGATCCAATCTAACATAATAACCAGACACCCAGCACTTGCCTTACCCACGCGACAACACTAACTACCCAATGACGCTCAGCTACAGTGAAGCGTGAGCACCCGCTAAGTTCACAAGGTCTAGGCTTGCCACAGGCGGGCACCATGGCTCGCGTTCCCATTCCCCAGTAGTCCATGCATGCCCAGCATCAATGCCCAGCCCCCACTTGTACAAGATTTTATTTCATCAAATACCCAGTCAATATTACCCGTAAAATTTTCCCATTTTTCATCTTGCCTAAGCACGCACATAATTTTTGTGCATATTTCTAAGTTATATTCAAACCCCTTTCTGAATGTAATGATATATCTAACACAGCCCCCTTCTAACCAAATCTTTCCCATAATTATAAAATAAAGAGACACAAGAAAAACACAAGATTCAAGTGTGATAAACCTTGAAACAGTTCTTGCACTTGAACACTTGTGTGTCTTGAAAGCGGTGTCAGCGGGGGAAGTTGTCATCAGCCGACCATTGCATGGACGAAGTCTTGACCTTCTTCTTGGCAGGCCTCACTCCCAAGTGTGGGTTCTGGAGTGCTGTGCACGTGTTCAGAGCCCAGCAGGGTCGTAAGCAATGGCGCGCACACCATATCAATGGCCTGTATTCATCACGCTCTTGGCCCACACAAAGTGTGTTACATAAGCTCTGACAGTGGAGTCAGCGACACTCCATGGAGATAACCCATGGTATTCAATCAAAGACAAAGGGGGTGTTCTGATGAATGAAATCTAATTCACTGGGTATCGTGGGGTTGACCAACTCTCCTAGTTGCCCCAGATTTCCATTCAATGCAAAGCTCCCAGTAACTACATGTGTACACTAAACAAAAGTTGCTGGTGTGGTATGCGGCTACCGCAGACAAACAAGTAAGTTACATGTGTATTTGCATATTTCTCTAGTGTAAGGCTCCCAACTGCTTTTTTGTTATAGCAAAGTCAATTGCGCCCTCAACGCCAATTACCATCTGTGGATTTACATGTAGCTGTGAGTAATTCACCTGTGAGTAATTGATCGAGCTCCTCACATTACAGCTAATCTTCCAAGAAAACGGGTACATCTAAATCACTTGCTGGGGATGCGCATTTTGGGCATCTGGCCCCTGGTAAGAATACCCGAATCACCAGTGCTGCGCTTTCCAGGCCTCCAATTCCCTTGTGCCCTTCTGGTGACAATCGATCAAGCCATTCACCGGCTCACGTACTCATACTGGAGACATGCTTTCTGGGCCTATGGCACACTGGGCACAGGTAATAGGGCTGCGCCTTCCAGGGCTCTGGCTAGGGCCCTAGTCCTGGAGCTGGTAAACCAAGAAGTAAGAGTTCAGACCATGTTGGGTCCAGAACTGCACCTTCTGGACTATTCAGGGGACAACCAGACACACTCTGGCCCCCAGACCCCGGTGTTGGGGATTTTGGTCCTGACTGAGAAAACCTGGATAATTCCTGGTGTAGTGACCCCATTTGGGTGGAAACTGGGTTGTCCCACACTCACCGGGACTGGAAAGAAAACCTGGGTGATTCCTGGTAGACAGATCAGACCCAGTTGGGAACCGGGTCATCCAGTAATCACTGGAGCCAAAGAGAAAACCTGAATGATTC